AAAAAAATTATTTAATAAAAAATTTGAATGGTGGAGATGGGGGAAGTGGCGGGAAAAGGAAAAAAAAAGGAAGAGACCCCTGGTTCGATGGATCATGGAAGGGATTAAAACAAATCAGGCCTCCGGGATGGATGCTTGTTAGAGGTTTGTAATATAACGAAAATCAATATATGACATTTATACATATTAATTAGGAAAAATATAATCATCAATCTCTATAATTTTATCAAATTTTATTTTTAATCCTCATAATTTTTTAATATTTTTAGCTCTTATAGTTTCAGCAAGTTTAATGACGTTTGTTATTTAAATCCTTATTTTTAGTGCTTTTCGTACCTATAAGGACTAAAAACACTAAAAAAATTATAAGGACTAAAAGTAAAATTTAATAAAACTATAGGGATCATTGATTTTGTTTTCTTTATAAATTAAAATGAATATTTATTAATTTCTTATAATAGTGTGATTTTTTAAATCTTATGTTATCTATAGGTAGGTATCCTTAGTTATTTTAAAGGAAAAAAGTAATTATTTGGTTTATATAGTTTTTATTTGGTTGTAACTCAATTTTTGAATTTTAGTTTCTTATAACTTTATCCTTATAATTTTTAATTTTGTTATACTTTAATCTTTAAATTTTGATTCGATATAATTTAGTTTCTATAATTTTAAGTTTAACTATTTAATTTACAATATTGATCCTTATATTTTAAAAAATAAAATTATAAAATAATTAATTTTGAAATTCATGGATTAACATTTTAATTACTAAAAATTTTAATTTTTATAAAGATTATAGATATTAAAATTTCAAAATAATATATATCTCTATAATTTTATTTGTTTCAAATATAGAGACCAATATTTTTAAATTACTAAAAGTATAGAGATTGAATTATAATAAGTCAAACCAAAAATTAAGTTACAAGTAATCAAAACGAAAAGAGCTAACCGATTAAGTTATAATGAATTAAATTTTAAGAGTTGAGTTAATTGTGTTAAATTACAAAAACCTAACTCTTTCTTAAAGGAAAGGGGGATGCACATCTCCATACATGTAAAAAAATATGTCAACACTAGATTTGAAATGAGGATTTTTTTTTTTTAGCAAGGAGGTGACATTGTCATTAGGATAACTAACTGTTGACACATTATCATTTTATTTTTTACCCAACCAAATCATATGCACAATTTTCCCTTTTTGTAATTACATTTGAAAATTTATTTACATTCTAGGGGCTTGAGACTTCATTTTCATCTGTGGATTTTGGAGGGACTTAGATGCAATCTTACAAAAAAAAATACTACTCCCTCCCTCATAATTTATAAGACATTTTTAATTTTTTTATCCTAAAATATAAGATACTTTAAATAAATTAAAATTTTATTAAATGCATTAATTTTGATATTATTCTTTCTCTCTTTATAATTAATTTCCATCCCTTTTCTTTTAATATATTAAATGAATTGTATTTTTAAAGTTTATATGTTTGTTTTGAAAAGATAAAATTATTAAATATATTTAATAAAATTTATTGATATATAAATTTTATTTAAAACTATCTTATAATTTAATATGGAGAGAGTATTATAAATGTAAACGTGGACTACATATTTTTATTTTAGGCCACAAAGCGTCTAGCTCGATCAAAGTGAACTGGCATCTTTCAAATAGCTTCGTACATTTATTGGCGCTAGATAACTAATCCACGTCATCTCATCAAAAGCACATTTAACTCACGTTTCAACACCCGAACAGCCATCAACATATTCTTCAATTTTTTAAAGAAAAGAAAAAAGGGTCAAATTATTATTTTTTTTAAATGAGAGTGAGTTTTAATTTGTTCATTTGAAAGTAACTAGTATCTCAAATCTAAGTCAACGTTAATTATCTCACAGATATTGAAAAATGTTGTTAAAGATTATTCACCTTGTTAAATTTGTCCCATGTTACAATTATTTTTCACAATTACTCCCTTCTTTATTTATAAAAAGGTCAATTAATTAAAAAATTACATAAGGTTTAACAAAAGTTAAAGGGGTAGGGGGAATTAAAGAAAGAACTATCTTGCGTTGTATTAAAGGTTACAAAATAGACATTACTTGCTATTTACTAGACATTCTGTACCAATGCTTGCTGAGAGTGATGTTTTGAATGAAGCTAATAGAAGAGTTTCTCCTTGAAACAAAGAATAGAGACTACTTAAATATAAAGGGTATTTGCAAGCGAAAAATCCTTAATCCATTGTAAAGCAGCTTTAAGACAAATCAAGTTGAAACAATTTGGATAAATATAATAGTCAAGCTTTTCGAAATAAAACTGTGAACGTGAACCGAATTCAATATTAAGAGATCCGATCCGTGTGAACAATGGAAGGGTTCAATCTTTAAAAAATTACTCCTAATAAATGATTTACCATCTAACATAAAAAATTGCCTTTAATTTCTTTTTTCATTGATGCATGAGAGAGGAGTATCTATGGAAAAAAAAAAATATTTAATGATCTAGGCATTCTATAATATGACTATATTTCGAATGGTGGAAACTACTAATTACATTATATGGAGATGGAGTTCAAAAAAAAAAAAACGTTGCAATGCCCTTGCAATTTGTTTTTTACCCAGAAACATAAAGTCATCATTGAAAATTGAAAGGTTTACAAAGATAAATCAAATACAATGAACAAAACATAAATAAGAAAAAAAAGGGAAAAAAAACCAATACAAAGCAGCATACATAAAGAAAATAATTAACACCATTAAAACCATTCCATGCCTTAAAACAAAACTAAAAAGTAAGAAATGTCATCTGTGCCTTAAAAACTCCAAAAACTAAAAGTCGTGTTGAAAAATAGGGATAGCAGTTTTATAAAATTATCATAACGATTCCATTTCTATGTAAATAATAACTGCTATGTAGATAATAGATTTACTACCTCCACACATTAGATTGATTCCACGTAAAGAGAACCAAAAACATCAACAACAACAACAAACTAGCTACCAGTATTACAAACCACAATCTATCAAATCGATAAGCACAAGCTGAGATCTCCACCAACAAACTGAAATCATCAACATTCATATTGAAAGAATCTTATACCTCTTAGTTAGTGAGAAGTTGTAAAACTCACGATTAACCTTCGTACAAATTATCATTCTTTCAAATAGACAACATCTACCTCGTTGACACCAATCAAACCTCCATTCCCTTTTCAGCAACTTATATTAGGAAGAAACAACACACACCAACAAAAAGAGACCAAAAACCAACTATAAACCCACCCTCTTGTGATAGAAGTTGGCATAAAGGTTATAGAAAAGAATTCGCACTGACAAATAAATAAAAGCTCATACAAGGAAAATCTAGGAGAGAAAATTGAAAAATTGTTGTTCTAACTCTGTCTCTCGCACACATATTTTGAAGATATCAATGCAAAATTACTTTTTAGAGAATGTCACTCCAAGGTCTATAAAGGGATATATTTGCAATCAAAACTCGAAGCATTCTAAAAAATCATTGCAGGAATAAGGTCCTTAAATGTAATAAATTTTGTGTTGATTACAAAAAAAACCCACCAATGCAGGTGGCTGAACCGCCTAGGTGGTTGTCTTCCCATCGGTGATAGTGGTGGCTTCGACACCAACAACAATGCCAAGCTTTTTTTTTCATTTTTAATGTGACAGGGAAACTTTAGTAATCAACACACACAACTTTATTATAAATAAGGATTTTAAGCCTATTGTGAAGTTTTAGTTTTAGTTTTTTTTTTTTAGCCTTGCATACAATTATTCCTTTTAAAAGGGCCCTGCATGATATTCTCCCATGATTTTTCCTTCTAAAACAACGAAGTCACGCCTTACTAGTCTCGGGAAAAAAAAGAAAGAAAGAAAGAAATTTTAAGTGGGATTACTTTAACAGAAACTCACAATGAAGGACCCTTAAAGATAATTAATTACACTAGAAGACCAAATAATTTTGATATTATTCTACAGGATCAAAGCACCCACTTTGTTGTGAAAAGACACAAATACCTTCATGTGTATACTATATAATCTTTTAACAACTCCCTATGCAAAAAAAAAAAAACTAGTCCCATTCACATTTTAACGACAATCATTTTTTTATTAACAATTTTAAAAAAATTAACTTAGTGGTAAAGAACAGTTGTTGTGATTTGTGAACAAACCCTTATTTAAAAAAAAAAATAAATCTAATTTTCATTCTAACGGCAACCAATTTTATTATTAACAACTTCAAAAAATTAACTTAATGGTGAGAGGAACAAATGTTGTGATTTGATAAATAAGTTTTAATTTGAAAAAAAATAAGTACTATTTTCATTCTAATAACAATCAATTCCTTTATTAATAACTATAAAATATTAATTTACTTGAGGAATTGCTATAATTTGATTAACAAGTCTATATTTGAAAAAAAAAACAAGTTTTATTATCATTTTAAGAACAATCAATTCCTTGACCACAACAAAAATATATCAAGGATAGACTTATCTTTTCACAGTAAATTTTAATCACATTTAGGTTTTTTGGTTCTGTAGAATAATATTATAATCTTTTGGCCCTGCAACATAATTAATTATCTCTAAGGGTCTTTGATTGTGATATTCCCTTACTTTAAGCATCAATCTATCTTAATTCTCTACAGGCAAGAAAAATAAAATAAAATCATATATTAGAGATTGGGATTTAACAGAAGTTTGAATCAGGTGAAGGCAATAGTCAACAGATTCTGCTTGATTGAGAAGCATGGTTTTGGCCACACAACTAGCAAGAACCTTTTATGCACAGCATGTCACAACAGAACCAATCACTCCGAATAACGCCCCCAAATTGGCATCCACTCCACTGAGTACGATGATCTAACACTCACTGTACAATTGAATGACGTGAGGTGTTACTACACACACACACACCTTCATTTTGTAATTATTTTTATTGGCTGTTTAACAAGTAATCGTATTTTATTATCTGTTCAATTGAAAAAAGAGATTCAAATTCAAACAAAACTACACACCGAGATTCAATTCAAAGGAAAAGAGCCACGGCGTGCACGAAACACGAGAAAAAGACACTTCTTTTTATCATAGGAGGTGGTTCATGTTCACATTTGCAACATGGACCATATTATACTAAGCTGGTTGGCTCAAAGATATTTTGTACATATTTCCCTTCTTCAGCCGCCAAGTTTCATCAAGGACCTGATAATGACTCATCACGTAAAATTTTCCTTTCCTCTAAACCTACTTACAAATTAAAGAGGATGGAAGACCCTAAAAGAAGAACCAGAGAGGACCTATCCCACTAAATACACCCAAACCAAACCCCCTCTCGTTTTTACATCTTTCTAAACCAACACATGATTCAGTCCACCGTCCACATGACACATTTACAAACACTTTCCGAACAAATATTTACACTAGGCAGAAAAAAAGACGATGTTTCTCTCTTCTTGCTCTTCAGAGACATTCAAAATTCTTCATGGTGTCGTAGTTCATGTGATCTTCTTTCTATTCCGTAATAATGCATTCTAAAAGCTTCTCTTCCTCTAATTGGATCTATTCTGAAAGATGGATGTGTTTTTCTTTCTAGGCCAGAGCAGGGATGCTGCAATTTCGCCTGTCCCTGTCAAGGCAATCGAACCCCTCGATCCTCACGACCGGATTGTTCCCAAAATTGGCTCGGACACAGCCTCCCTTCCTTGTGGAAGACGCCGGAGACGGTGCTCGAACCGGTGGGGAAGAAGCCCAGACCGGCGGCGACAGCGGGGAGAACTTTTCATCACCAAATCGAGCGTCCTGAATCAATGGGTTCTCTACTCTACTCGGCGGTGACCCGCCAAAAAAGGGGGGCGACGAGGCCATCTGTGTGCATGGTTGTTCTATCCCATAATCACCCTGCAGCCCCAAACATCACCAAGAAAAAATCAACCAAAGACATAAATCTTAGAATCTTAAAAACCACTGATCGTCAGGCAAATTATTTATATTCATATAATGAGGAAATCAACGAAGGAGAGGCCACCTCAGCGAGGATGAAATCCAATGGATCAGACATAGGTTTTGTGTCACATATCTCTGACTGGCAGCTGCAGAATAAACGAAAGAAAGTTTAAATAAACGACTTTATCTTATTAAAACGTGAAGTACAAATCTAACGGGAAAAAGGAACAGCAAAAAGCATATGTAAAATCAAATAGATGAGCAGCTACCTGACATGCCACCAGACGGATCTAACGGGATGGTCGTTAACGGCGACGTTTAAGAGGCTGAGGCGGCGAGGTTTGGGACAAACCACATGGTCTCTGCTGCTCATCTCTTCACGGGTTGCGACGACGACGTTTTGCTTCTGGATCACACAGTGGTTCATCTTCCTTGAGGACTATAAACAATTGGAATAACCTGGTTTCCAAAGCCAAACAATATATAGAGACAAAAGATTTAGGATGATAATCTAAAACTGTAGTATTCAAAACTAAATGACTAAAGAAATATTAGAAGTTTGGACTTATTCAGTATCTTAAACAGTAAGAACAAAGTCGTGCATAAAAATTTGAAAAGCTCGACATTAAGATCTGGTCAAACCAAAACAAGATTAAAAAATTATTACATTTTGAACTTTAAAATTAATATTATCAACCACCCATCGCCGTCCTCCGATAGCTACTAACCCTTACCTAAAGAGTTAATTAAGACCTTGCAGATTATTGGAGGGAAACCATAATAAATTTTAATTATGAAAAATCATTTTTAAAAAAATACGTAGCCAAACAAATTTGAATTTCTGCTCATTCAGAAACCGAATCTGTTTTCTGATTTCTCTTTCCCTTCTTTTCCTTTTTGAGGAAGCGAGAATTTAAATATTTTGAGATAGCGATTGAGCTCTCGCACATCGCAGGATAGATCTGGCGAAACATTCAGCACTCTTTACCTCTAAAGAGAAAATACTTTGCAGTCGAATAGGCCAAAACTTCAACTCTTAATTTTCATTTTCTTAAAACAACCAAAAAAACAAGGAAAAAGGTTGGAGCAATTTGTTGGCCTAGCGGACGTCCAAATCAAAATCTTCATCTTCTCGAAACTCAAAGCACGTAAGCAGAAATACGATCCAGAAGAGAAACGAAATAAGATAAAAGTGATACAAATTCGAATTCAGGAAAAGGGGGAAAAAAATCGGATCTGCGAAGGCAGTTAGGAAATCAACATCAGAAGACTCTGAAAGAGCCAAAAAATACCTGTATGCTTCACTGTACAGTTCTGATACGAAGCCTGAGAAACACTCGAAAAATATTCACCAAAAAATAAAAAAAAAAGAGGTAAGTCAATTAGGATTTGGGTAGGGGTGAGGCTGAGAAAAGAAGAGCTTGAAGAGGATGGGGAAAGAGAAGGTGGGTCAGATTTATACAGGAGGGGAAGAGAGAGAAAGCGAATCAGGAAACGAAAACGGAGAGAGAAAGTGAAAAAGAAAAGTGAGGGAGAGATGAGGCAGGGAGTGAAGGTGGGAGAAAGAAGGAGCAACACAAGGTTCCAACCATACTTGGTCCATGGGTATTTAATATATCTATTTTTTATTGTATTATTTAATATTTATGCTTTTTCCTGTTTAGTCATTTTTTTTTTTTGAAGCATTATAAAAATGAGTCATGCGGGCGGTGCCTCATGCGCGAGACTACATTGAGTTTTGCACCCAGAAGAAAACATTATTTATTAATCTTTTTTTAATTTCTTAATTAGTTTGTCGTGAAAAAATCTTGAAGAATAAATAATTAATTTAATCCAACGGGTGTTTCCTCACGGAGCTTACCACATCGTTACGACTCGCTAGCTGATCTTGACGCGTGTCAATCCTGGATCTGGGTACTATTCATTATTTAAGAGGCCGAAAAAGGAAGAGCAACCAATCACGTGGTGGTGTGAAAACGACGCCGTTTTCAGTTCCAGCGTACTTGACCATAAGGTTTGGGCAACGCGAGAGTTAGGGTTGTACAAAAGTCTTTTAATTCTATTTAATTCAATCTAATTTGAGATGGTCTCAATCTTATTTAGTCTATATAGACACTGGTCTTTCAGGACCAAAAAGACTAAAAAGATCAGACTATTTTTTCGGGTTGGACTGGACAAGAGACCAGGCACCCGGACCACTTGGTCTAGTCCAGTCCTATTAATTTTTTTATTATAATTACAATTAATTTATTTTTGACAAATTTTTAAAGTGTAATTGATGTTAAGGAGATGATTGTATGAAGATTTGTTAAGTTTGTTTCTAAATTGTTGTTGTAATATAGTGTTGTTAAATTTTGTTGAGTACTATTTTTGTTAAAGTTATAAATTTAAATCATTTGGACTATAATAGAAATATTTTTTCTTATTGTTGGAAATTATTATGAATTTATTATTATTATTATTAGAAGTGTTTTTATTATTTTAATTGAGTTTATTATGTTGAAATAAATTATTACCTCTCATAGAATAAAAAGAGAGAAAAAAGCTAAGTGAGTACTGGATTGATAGGACCAGTCTCCCAGTCCTATAGACTAAGTTTGATCTTGTTAATCTTCGAATTTTCATTGAATAAGACTGGATTACGGGTTACCTAACTCAATCTTTTTTATAAAAGAGACTGGACTTTGAGTTAAGGTGAAGTCCAATACCATCATATTTTTTGTGCAGCCCTAGCCAGAGTCACACCAGAGACATGCCGTCCAGTGAATCAAGTCATGAACACAATATTGAATTGTTTAAAATTCTCTGCCAAAAAATGTTTAAAATTCAGTTTATTAAAAAAAAAGCTAAATATATTCAGCTCAATTCGATATTTTAATTATTTAAATTCAATTGATTCGTGAGCAGCTTAATTCGTCTGTACTTCTGTTGGGCCTTTGCCGCCCAACAACATTGTGATCTTAAAAAATAAACAAAAAGTTGATTGAGATGGGAAATAATTAAAAATAAAAGGATTGTTTCTTTTTTATTTAAAGCAAGTAGATCTGGATCTGTATTTGTAAAATTTGTGAATTCAAGTGGTAATAGTGATGGGGAAATTCCGCACAAATCTGGGCCTAATTCTGTCTAAAACTAAAAACACTATAATTCTTATTAATCCTATCTTAAAATTTAATAAATTTTTAATTTTACCCTATTAAAAATCATAAAAATTTTTTATAAATATAATCAAAATGAATAACAATTTTGTTTTATAAACAGAATTAGAGGAATATACATATATTAGAATATCTTGCATTGTACTTCCTCTCATTTTTGTTATAAAGCATTTTCTATAAGAAATAGATAATCCTTATTATATGTCATTTAATAGAGTATTGACTATGTTTTTTTTTAATACTATCCCATTTAAAACAGTTAATCACAAGAAAGAATATAATACAAATATACAATTTTTTATTATTTAAATATGGGTAAAATCATAAATTTACTCCATTTTCCAACAGAATTAATAATTTAACTACATTTCTTTAATTCTAATTAGAGATACTTTATAGGAGCATCATATACTAGACTTAAAATAGACTGATAAAATAACATGTGGGTAAAAAGTCAGAGTTGTATACAAAAGTTAATTCTACATATAGCATATATATAAACATTTCATGTCATGAAGCCCAAGTTGATTCTTCGTGGGGCAGTGTGGAAATGTTATAAAATGTACCCCAATATGATACTGGTATGTGTATGTGAGAGAGAGAGAGAGAGAGAGAGAGAGAGAGAGAGAGAGAGAGAGAGAGATAATGATAATAATAATAATAATAATAATAATAATAATAATATAACCGAAGAATCTAAGAAAAATAGGGAAAGGAGACGTGTTACTGAAGTGTAAGTACTGAAAAAACGGCAGACAAGCATCTTGTAAATGTTGCTATGCTTCCCAAGAAGTGGAACAAAGACGAGTTGAATAAGAAAGTGCATGCATGTTCAATTATTCTTTATATATATATATATATATATAATGATTCCTAATATAAGTTTGTGAATGATTTTATGGCAAAATCCTCATCATAGATTTTAATTCCAATAATTCCTCCCATCTTTCTGTGTCACTGTCAATATGCTCCACATAGATAATGTATTTAACGTGCTAAAAAATCTGTTGATCATGCTTTAACCAAGGTAATTAATATGAGAGCAGGTTTGTTTTAAAATTAAACAAACGCCAGGTCTATGCATTTCTAAGCATAATTGACACACATTTTTTTTTTAATTATAATTAGATCCATACATTATATAACAAAGTAATTGATCGGCTTGTTAAGTATTTTCACAAACGCACTTGTGTCATGCAATGGAATTTAGGCCCCTTACCTTACCCACCTTAATGTTATCACTTCAATCTCACTCATTTCTAATGAATATTTTGATGGTTATCTTCTAATTAGACATATTAAGACTATCAGAAAGCTCATCATGTATAATTGAATCATTACGATTGATCTTATTTCAAAAAGATGAATACTTAAGTTGATTGGTTAATTTATTGTGTTAATCAAGACAAGTTTGATATTACTATTTATAATGATCTATCTCTAGAATGTAGAGATTTGTTACTAGTTGAACAAACTTAATTTTTATTGTTATTCATATAGGATTTCATTGTATCTTTTGTATTAAAAAAAAAACATAAAGGATAGAATCTAATACAAAGATTCTCCTCTTCTTGTAACATGTCATCATCAAAATTAATTTAGTATGTTTTTTGGCCAAAGAAAAAAGAAAAGAAAAAAAAAGAAAGGCTAGAGAGATAGCATTAAAATTAAAATTTGTTTGGTTGGAAGAATTCCCACGCCTTTTTGTCCAAACCATATATGTCTTGTGGACAATACACAACAACAGTTTTTGCAAATTGCTATTGGCATTTAGCTTTTCTTCTAGGGGAATATATCCAAAATAAACACAATCTCAATTACATATATATTCTCTATTTGTCTCTCATCATCCTACTTGACGTATTCCAATGTCCTTTTTTTGAAGGAGTAAATTCCATTGACAACAAATGTTATCTCTTTTAGATACCCAAGGCAAATAGTCAGCAACGAATCTTGAAACACATGTGGAAGCCAAAATTGAAAATAACATAAAATATGGGGTTTAAGCTTTTTTTTTTCATTTTTTATAAACAAAAATTAAAAATAATTCTCAATGAATAGTTGCCCCCAACATTCGTTGCTACAAATGGCAAACTTCTCTCGTAAAATTGTTATATATATGAGGATTAAGATTTAGGCTCCAACCAATTACTTAAATAGTGAGAGCCTCCGCCATTTATGCCAACTATATTTAGTCATTCCAAGGTCCTTTTCAAAATCAAATGCCTGCCATTAATCCCAAAGTGGCCCTCCTGCAAACGTCCATCGGTCCATGATTTTGACATTCCTGATTGATCAATTTTGCCGACCATTAGACATCAACTTCCCCAAATTACACCATGTTCTCTACGTTTTGGATAATATTACATCATTGTTAGTTTCAGGAACAAAGTCAACATAAAAGCTTTTTGGTCTTATTAACGTGATAAAAAGCTTAAGTGCAGAATATTTGCAAGGAACCAACTTTTAATTGTCGTACGCCATATAAACCTCCTTCAAAATGATATCATGTAATGGACTTCTTTAAATATTTACAGTTTTTTAAATAAATAAAAAAATGATGTATGGTTAGTTTCAACTAACAATTATTGTTGATTTCTTTGGCAAACAGGTTCATGTATCAAACCATTAAAATTTGCATGCATCTACTAAATTTATCCGCAAAGTAATCGGATATTTGATCTGATATACCTCCGAAAATTATATACACTGTTCACCATCCATTAAGTTTGAGAAATCTAACTCCACCTTTCTGTATGTAAATTTTCGAAGTTTCTCCGTGTCTACATATCTTAGTGCAAGACCCAAAAACTTTAAAAAAAAAAAAAAAACAGAGAGAGAAAGAAAGAAAGAAAAGAAATACTTCCGGAAAGGAATGCATCTGAGTATTTCCAAGTTACACGGTATCTTACATGTCTCAAGTCTCAACTTGCAGTAGGCCGTTATTAGCCAAAGCCAAGTTGTTTTTCTCTAACGTGTGGATCCTGAGCTTCAAGCAGGATATGGATTCACTGATAGAAAGAGGCAGGAAAATTTTCACTGGAACAAGAAACAACAACGTAATATATCTGAACTAATTACAGCTTTCTGAAGGTCAACTTGCAAAATGCCGTCAAAAAAGAAGGGTAAACATTTAACAAGTTTTGTACACCAGCTTGTAAATAGTACAGAAAACAAACAATAGTACAAAATTTTTTTGGGTGGTTTTTTTTTGGGGGGGGGGGGGTGCTAAGGTGAGGATGAGAAAGAAAAAGATCTCTGCAAAGTTTGATGAGAGGTGCTTCCTAAAGAGACACTATTTTGCATCTCTATTCAAGAGTTCTAAATGTCTGAGGAAATATTTGGTTCAACTTCAAGCTGAAGCTGGTTCAGAAGCAGCAGCAGAAGCAGCTCGTTTCTTGGCGAAGTATTCTTCAGCCCGGGCAAGGTTTTTAGCAACTGATGGCTTGACCCACTTCTTACGGCCGGGAAGAACAGTGAGTGAGCAGCCAACAGTCTCCAGCTTCTCCTTTGCTGATGTTGAAAATGCTCGAGCTTTTAGGGTCAGCTTCTTGCTTAGTTCTCCTTCTCCCAGAATCTGTAATCAAAGCGAAACAAACAACTACTTTCATCATTTCTTTCCGTATCTAATACATTGTGCCCTTGTTTTAACAAGACCAAAAATGCATGTAATTACACAACCAGGTAAACTAATGCAATTATGTCAAAACAGCGCAAAAAGGAATGATGATAAATTGAAAATGATTTTATCAATGTAAAATGAAACACAGCAGCTTTGTTTCAGGCAAGCGCCAAGTTGGGTATGTGAATCACCACAGCTAGCTCAGGCATCACATCTTTTTCCTTACTGCTTGCCACATGAATAGCTAAGCATCACTATCAAGTTCAGATCCACTGATCTGCAGACTTCAATGACGCTTCTCTCAGAGCCCAGATTGGGTAACACTCATACACCTCGGTTAAATTAAACCACATTCTTTGCTATGATAGCAGGCAACAGAATTCCCAGTCACCATATTCATTAGTATGCCAATATAATATGTAAACCATTTTTTCCCATCTGATACCAATAAATACAGAGGCGCAAAATTGTGTACCTTGAGGGTTTGTTGGGTGTTAAAAGGGAAGTTAATAATAAAAAAAATTCATAGATATATTCAAAATATTATGAGCATAACATTCATAATAGAAACTTAATTTATCAGCAGAGTTTGACATCCCAATCAATTTTATTGATAGGTATATCCATATAAGTTTGAGTTTGATTAACACCAATGTAAACAAAACCCATGCTTGCGCACATGTAAGCGCATACACATTATGGATGGTGTGCAAATCACAGAACAATTTTAATTCCATTTTGTCAGTTTCACTTCACTGGCACATGCATCATATTCTATAACAGAATTATACCACTTGTCAGACGCAGGAGTGAGAGAATGCTTAGAGAAGGAAATTTACATGTCAACAAATTAACAAGTCTGTACCTTCAAAGGAAGTCTCCTATCTCTTCCAGATGGATTAATCACACCCTTCTCCTTCAATGTCTCTAGAGATACCTCTTCTCCATCCTTAAATCCAGCATCCTCTATGTCTCTCAAATTCACGTGGACATATTTGGGTAATCCGGCGTGCATACCTTATGATCAAACCAAAAATGGAAAAAACAACAGGAATCAGTATATGGTTTCCTAAAGGAATATATATACACATGAACACGATGCAATTTAAAACAGATCCACGTATGTGTAGAAATTTTTTTGCACTTAACATGGTGTAGGGTGCATGCATGAACCAAATTGTATGTATGCATAACATAAGCATCAGACATCAACTGGAACACGAAAAATATGTATATATACACATGTCCTCAAATATTTCTAAAGGCATGATGAACTATAGCATTCGCATTCTTTTATTCAGATATGGAAAGTTCGAGAGATAGTGTTGCATTTTCAATAAAAACATGATTTCTACTCCCCCACTTAAGAAAGCTGGAGAAATAAAAGATAGACATTTTTTGATTGACCAAAGAAAAGAAAGATGGATTGATAATTTCATAAAAGACTGGTCCCAATTATAGTTCTCAGATGCAATTTGTATGCATACCGTCAAGAAATTGAACAAAACTTCAAATTTACAGACATAAGTCAAGCAAAACATCATTCTTTGATGGCACAATTCTACTCAAAATTAAAATACCAAGAAGCATAATTACCCTGTGAAAAGAAATTCACTGCCCAAAATTGAAGTGAGAAAGTAACAAAGAGAAACAGCCATTACCTCCCGCAATTCCTCTGAGTTTAGGGATTCGTCGATAAAGTGGCATCTGACCACCCTCAAAACCCTTCCGTACACCAGGTCCTGATCGTGATTTCTGACCCCTCATACCGAATCCACAACTAGCACCTTGACCTGCTGATATACCTCTTCCCTTTCTCTTCGCTTTCTTCCTCGAACCAGGTTGAGGGCCCAGATTGTCGAGTCGGAAGCGCTCAGTGGTAAGGGTAACAACTGCAGGGGAACCAGCAGCTTGATTAAGAATAATAAGAAAGGGTCTTCTCTCTCTACTACTTGGGTGAATTTTCAGGGAAGAGATGTTGAATGGTTTTGCCGCTAAATTTTCCAAGCTTCCCTGAAATACTGAAATTTGTGAGGATGAAGAAGCAAATGGAAAACTTTAAGCAAAGATTGTGAGACGAGAATACCTTGAAAGGAGAAGCAAGAGATAGACATCTTGCTGGCTTTGCCACCAATGGCGATGGGGTGAGAGAAAAAGAGCAGCCATGGATGTGGAGGTGTACATTCTGTGCTGGCTCTTCTGCGAGCGAGAAAACTTAAACGGATAGGATAGGCTTCTTTTTTATTTTTTTTATTTTTTAATTTTTTGGCAAGGCCTGACAGTCTATTATAAAATAATTATTCCCATCATTAATCATATTTTACGTCCCTTTAATATTATTAAAATTTTCAGTTTTAGAATAATTAATATTTTTGTCTATTTTTTTATGTACATTAACTTCTACATCTCTCTAGCCCAAAAAAAAAAAAAAAAATCCTGCATCTCTAAATAATTCATACTATATGAGATCCGACATGCTACTATATGGAGCTTGAAGAGTAAGTTCAATATTCATAATTTGTTAGTAGTATGATTTACTATCATTTTTATAAATATATGTAGATATGTTTAAAGCCTTATTTATATAATTGGTTAAGTTAGACTTCATTTATTTATTACGTTTAAATGTAATGTCAGTTTGATTTTATTAAGTAGCTTCCTTTGTGTACCCAGTAATGCAGTCCCAAAATAATAATAATAATAATAATAATGCAAGGCAATATTAACCTTTTTATACTATTATCACAGTAAATACGGTTGGTTGCATTTGTTCCCTGAGTCGTCTTTACGCAGTAAAAGATGATTACATGAAATTAGGTTAAAGGTCTCTAACTCTTGAAACAGAACACCATCACCTCAATGCATAACATATGGAAATGAGAGGAATTTGATACATAGAGAGAGAAAAAAGAGTTGGGATAGAACTGAAAATTTAAGCAAGTCAGGCCTATTCGGACTTAGTCCAAATAAGCCAACCTGAAAAGGCTTGAATTCTTTTGAGCTTTGAACTGTTCAAATACTCGAATTTTATTTTTAAAATTATTTTTTTAAAATTAATTATTTTATTTTATAAAAAATATAAAATATATTTGATACTTAAACGATGTATAAGACTCAAATATATGATATTTTAATAAAATTAATATTTAATTATATTTTATATATTTTTAAAAATAAATTTTTTATTTAGATATTCAAGCCTAATCCCAAATTTTTTCAAACGGGTTTGGATGTAGCCTGAGTTATTGACTTTGGGGGTACTTGAAGCAAGAAAAGCCTAAATTACCAAATTGAGCCCTTGAGTAATTTATGTAGCGTAACAATCTTGTTCATGAAACAGTCTACAATATTCAAAAGACCAATTTTGTTGGGGTTGACATGTGTATCTACACACACACACACAACTACTTGAGGAGAAGAAGGTCTGTGCAACTGTCATTGATGTAAGTTAAATGCGCAGGGAAATCAAACAAATCTCTGATCATCCATTTTGCTTTGAATCATACATTACACAGCCAGCTGCTACATTATACCTTAGATGTACTAATGGACGGTTTGCTCTATCTTCATCTTCTACGGAACACCCATTTGATATGATGTGTGAAAACTTTAAACCTAGTATAAAATATTAAAGCATCAAATTACTGAAACTTATTTTTCCTTAGATAGCCTAATGACTTGATGCATAATCAACTCGTCAAAAAGTAAAACTCTTCTCTGAAAACGTTACAGTTATAGGACTAATTACACAATTTTATTACATGATGCACAAGCATTAATGGTTGCCACAATGTATTTTCTAAAATCACAGCATAATCCTTTTTCCTCATAATCACTGTTACCATTTTAAGTACATTAAGAAGATCTCCCTTCCAGTTTCGAGGGTCCAAAACTATTGGTGTGTACCAGCGCTGCAGCTGCACGGGCAGTAGCTGAAGCTCGCTCTGCAGCAGCAATGGCGACTCGAGCCTTCTCTAGCACATCAATAGATTGAGATCTTGTCTCTCTCTTGGCATCGTCAGAGTGAAGATCACCATTTTTAGGCGATGGTTCAATTTCTTGAGTATTCAAATGAGGTTTGTTGTTAAAAGGGCTGGGAGCTTCAAGGTGTTCATAGGCTTGCTTGTTATGCACAGACATTTGAGAATTTTCTTGGTAGAAGGTGCCAAAGTGAAAGAACTCGATTTGCTGAGATTCTGAGAAGGCATAGCACTACCACTAACTTGCTTTGCTCCAGCCTATGAGAAATATGAGAGGGCCATCAATGAAAATTGTGTGAACGTTGGTCTTTAGTTAAAAAAGAAAAATGTATTTAATGTATCAGTCTATCAGATAGTGAGGTCAAAAATAACAGAAAAAACTTGTCAGTTAATTTTCACAAAGGGAAGAGATCAAAAGGAGAAAAACGATAAGCCGGACTGCATCAAGAAATGTGCTTCTCAAGGTGAAGTAAAGAAGTTCTGGACAAAGACAAAAGATGGTTATATTCAATACCTACCTACCTACCTACCTATATTTGTCAAGTAACACATCAACAAACAAAAACCAACTTGACTGACAATCAAAATGTACTGACTGACAAGATAAACCAACAGAGCTAAGTATTGAGATCAAATTATATGCAAAAATTGTTTTGGAACAAAAAAAAAATGATGATTCCAAGGTAACAAACATTTCCCTTAACTATAATAAATCATATCAAATCATCCAACTGCCCAACGAATAATCTGTATGAGGAAAGCATGATTAGAGTGTATAAGAAACATAAAAGTAACAAGGATTGTAAAAATGAAATAATATCCAGTACATCATATCTTCACCATTGGTATTTTATTACAACAGCTAAAGTCCTTGAATTGGATCCTGATGGGCCAGATGTATTCCACGAAAGAGGTTATCTGAGGCTGAGATCAATAGGCTGCGTGAATTCGGCCTATGTTTTAGTGCGAGGAGAAGTTTGACCCAAATCACAAGTGCCAAAATAAACAATATAGTTTCATTGTGCTGGAGGAGCAAGATAATGGCCTAGAAGAGGAATTAGGCAGGCCCAACAATGAGGAGGCCCATGAGGAAAGGGAGATGACGTCGATGGAGCTGGCAATCACAATGACAATTGGAATCACGGGTAAAAGTTCCCTAAAAATGAAGGGGCAAACTGGCAACCAAGAGGTGGTAGTATTTATCGATTGTGGGGCAACCCACAATTTCATTGCATCAGATCTGGTGAAAGAGCTAGTTTTTCCAATGCTGGAGGTCAAGAGGTACTTGGTGACTGTGGCCAACATGGGTAGGGCTTATGCGAACCAGAAATGCCCTAGGGTGTGACTAAAATTCAAGGAATGATCATTGAGCAGCCCTTTTTAGCATTTAGTCTTGGCATGTAGACTTGGTGCTAGAAGTAGAGTGGCTAGCATCCTTGGGGGATACCTACATGAACTAGAAGCAGCCTCACATGAAGGTGAGGAAAGGGAAAGGCTGGATATGTCTATGCGGAGACCCAGCACTCACTAATACCCAAGTCTCTCCATGATCTATCATAAAGGCGATCAAAGAGGAAGGGGTGGGATATTTGGTGGAGTTGGCTGTTAGCCAACGAGAAGAGTGAGTTACACAGCAAGAAGACGAAAATGAGTTTGCTATAATTATCAACAACTACCTCAAGGTTAGGGCGCCAACCTCTGGGTTGCCACCAAGGAGGTTTCACAATCACAGAATCACCGTCAAGCCAGGAGAGCAACCAACCAATACCCGTCCATACAGGTATGGGTTCACTCAGAAGGTAGAGATTGAGAAGCAAGTTAAGCACATGATGCTTGCAAGGGTCATACCGCCCAGTACAATCCTTACTCCAGTCCCGTTTTGTGTGGATTACAGTGCCCTCAACAGCATCTCAATACCAGACAAATACCCAATACCTGCCATCGACGAGCTTCTCGATGAATTGGGAGGAACAATAGTGTTCACAAAACTGGCCGCAGCCTCACAACTTGAAGACATTTAGAGGGTTTCTTGGTCTCATTGGGTACTACCGGAAATTTGTTAAGGGGCACAGTAAAATAGCAGCACCATTAACACAGCTGCTCAAAAAGGACTCATTTTAGTAGAATGAAGGGACACAGAAGTTGTTTGAAGAGCTCAAGCATGCAATGACCAAAGTGCCAATGCTAGTGATGCTTGACTTTAGTCAACCATTTGAGATAGAGGCCAATGCTTCAAAAACAAGGGTGGGGGCGCTCTTGATGCAGAAGGGGCAACCAATTGCCTACTTTAGCCAAAAGCTATCAGAAAGGCATCAACAATGCTCGGTTTACGAACAGGAGCTCATGGTGATTGTCCTAGCTGTCAAAAAGCAGCAACATTATTTGTCCAGTCAGCCATTTGTCATTGAAACAGATCAAAAAGGCCTTGAAGTAACTCTTGGAGCAGCAAATTATTACCCCTGAAAAAAAAAAAGGGTCACTAAGCTCATGGGCTCCAAAATTTCAGATCCAACGTAAGCTGGGGAAGGAGAATAGAGTGGCAGATGCACTCCCGCACTGTCATGCAGAATTAGAGATGAGAGCGATCTCTATGTGGAAGTATGAAGGGGTTAAGGAGTTAGTGACAGAGATCGATCAAGATTCACACTCAAGGGAACTCAAGCAGAAAATTATCCCCGGGGGGGGGGCCCAAAGGGTATGATTTGAAGAATGGAATCCTTCTTTATGAGGGAAAATTGGTGCTGCCTAGGGCTGTGCATGGGCAGGGTCGGGTAGGGCAATCCATTAACCCGATGCCCTACCCTAAATGTCTTCGGGCAAAAAAAGTATGCCCAAAACCCGACCCTACCCGAAAGATGCCCGACTTTGGAGGGGTCGGGCGGGCAGGGTCGGGCTGGGATCGGGCACCTCGGGCAGGGTCTCCAACCTTGCCCTACCGAAATAAAAAATCAAAACCATCCACACAAATCTAAAATATACTGTAGCAAATTAATTATTTCCATCAATAAATCACTTCAAGCTCTTATTTTAAAAGTAATAGATTGTTAAATATCACTAGCAAAAATATTATGGTGTCATCAAAAAACTTAATGGCAAAACAAATATGGAAGGAATTTTTCATGCAAGTCACAAGTGCTGTCCAATTTCAAATTCTAAGAAATATAAAAATGTTTAACCTAAGGTTTACAAACTTGATCATCAAGGCATCTAAAAAAAAAGAACTACCATTTATGTCCCCATCAAGTTAAAAAATTATATCCTATATTATTATTTTTATAAAAAAATATATTATATCTCGGGCCGGGCAGGGTCAATTGGTTTGATACCCCAACCCTAAACCTTGCCCAACCCGAAGATCGGGCTCAGCCCGACCATGCCCAAACAGAATTGGGCAATTTTTTTAAGGCTCGGGTTGGGCATATTTTGCTCGGGCCGGGCCGGGCATCTCGGGCTCATGGGCATCCTGCACAGGCCTAGTGCTGCCTAAGCACTTGGGCAAGACCAAAGAACTAATCAGGGAGTTTATGACTTACAAGCGTTTAGCTCTAGTTGTGTACTGGAAAGGTATGAGCAAAGACATCCAGGAGTTTGTAACCCAATGTGAGACTTGCCAAAGGAACAAATATGAAGCTTTGAGCCCCGTTGCACTGCTGCAACCACCACCGATGCCTATCACTTCTTCAGAAGATGTGAGTATGGATTTCATAAGGGGATTGCCAAAAACAATCGCTGTGATATGGTGATGGTCTTGGCAGATCGATTGACTAAATAGAGGCATTTCATCCTTCTTTCTCACCCCTACAGCATCAAAGATGTAGCCAAATTGTCAAAAAAGTGATCAGGTTGCATGGGTTTCCCAGCTAAATTGTCTTGGACAGAGACCAGGTCTTTGTTAGCCAATTCTGGAAGGAGCTGTTCAGCATGGTAGGAACCACCCTCAAGTACAGCTCATCTTATCACCCGGAAACCGATGGCCAAACTGAGGTAGTGAACAGAACTTTAGAGACTTATTTATGCTGCTTTGCTGGAAATACACCAAAGAAGTGGGTTAGAAGGTTGCCATAGGCCGAACATTGGTATAATACCACCTATCACAGTGCTATTGGTATGACTCCTTTCAAGGCACTATATGAGAGAGCCCCCCAGCCCCCTCTTATTGAAGTGGAAAGATCAGTTTTCAAAGGTGCATGAGGTTGACCAACTGATCTAGGAAAGGAATTTGATCTTAGATGAGCTCAAGAGCCAACTTGAGTAGGCACAAACACAAATGTACAACCAAGCAAACAAGCATGGGAGGGAGGTGCAGTATGAAATTGGAGAGGCTGTATATCTCAAGTTGAAGCCTTATCACTACAGGTCACTGGCAAGGAAACCAAACGAGAAGCTCTCTCCAAGATATTATGGTCCCTATAAGATATTGGAGAGGATAGGTAAGGTTGCTTATCAGCTGGAGTTACCTGCAACAGCCCGAATACATAATGTTTTTGTTTCTCAACTCAAGAAGGCCATCAAAACTGCAATGGAAGCACGGCCTCTGCCTAAGGGATCGACTGAAGATTTAGAACTGAAAGTGCGATCAGAATAAGTCCTAGCTGTGCGTTGGGATAAGGAAGGTAAACTGCAGTATTTAATTAAGTGGAAAAATCATCCAGATTGCAAAAATACCTGGGAAGATGAGGATGTCCTTCACAATCAATTTCCCCAATTTCACCTTGAGGACAAGGTGGCACTTACAAATGGGGGAAACGATGGGCCTGAAGCTAGGAGATGGAGCTGAGTGTATGAAAGGAAGCCCAAAGGAAGCAAAGCCCAGAATAGTCAGCAAAAGAAGCAGAGGCAAAGTGGTCAAGTGTGGGGTAATGGTTGTTCTGACACTATCAGAGTAGAGGGAGTGCGTATATGGGTGTGAGGGTTAGGAGGAATAGGTAGGAAGTTTGTTCTGAGAGCAGAGAGATCCTCGTCTATTGAAAACCAGGCCATGTGAGGTTTATTTCAAGTGTTCTTGTTACTGTTTGATTAGAGAGGAGATTTCCAATGAGTGAGCTGATATTAATGGTTGTATTCTCAACATTTTCCCCTTCGTAATAGAGAATATCAGCATATTTCCATTATCTATTCTACTTGATTTGGCTAGTTCTATCAGATCCCAAACATTGACCTAGTCAATCCAGAAGGAGAGACACGCAATGTGAGAGTTCAACAAATGATTATTGGATTCAACCATACTTTTCAAATGCATGTCCCTCACATATTGGATCTTTCTCTCTCCAGCATTAGTCATCAACTTCTTTAAGAAATTAAGAAGGATTCAAATTCCTGGAATCACATATTTGGATCCAAAGCTTGAAATAAAAATTGCAGCAGATTTCTTGGGTCAGAAACAAGGTTTCAAGGGAGAACTAGAATGAAAAATGATTTATAGAAGAGTAGACAGAGCTGCTCCTTGACATAAACAGTAAAACAATGCTATCATCCATATCTGATTACAAAGAAAATTCAGATTACGTGATTATTTAATGTGCAATAATGAAGGAAGATATCAAAGAAATACTAAATGAATTCACTGATAAAAGTACCAGGAGATCTTCATGATTTTTACTAAACTCTGCTTCAGTTTTTGAATAATCCCATCTTATATTGTATTCTTCTGCAATTTCCCTCAACGCCTTGAGCTTTGCTTCGCCAGATGGGCCATGAACTGAAAGCTTTTCAATTATCTGCAATAATAATAATATGAAGAGAGGGGAGGCGATTAATCGATAATAGTTAGCCAAATCTGACGCTCCAATAGAATCAATAATCTGCAAATTAACATAGTACAATAAAAGATACTTTACCATGCGGTTCACACCTGAATCAGGACGAAGTTCAGATGCTGCAGATACAAATTCCTTTCCATATTTTGTGGTAAACAGGTTTTTGATATGCAACAAATCTGGCACGTCAGAACATCTGGGAGCAGCAAAAATAATGCTTGCAATGGCTTCTCGCAATTCTTGAGGGCACTCCCTATTATGTTAGAAAGGAATGATTAAAGTTTGCAAAATATGGATATAAAAACAGTTTTCTTAAAACTGCATCATTAGGAGAAGGAATTATCTAGTGATACTTCAGACCCTTGCCTGTACACCCGTTATACATTGTGCAAATTTATCATTCATAGAAAAGGATGTCTTTGTGGAAGAATAACAAGAAGCAAATCGAAAGATGCAGAGGTCAGGAAGATAAAATACCAATTAATTTGCAAGAGTACTGCACTTCGCTTTGACAAATTAATCAACAATAAAGGAAAGTAGAACAAATAGTACGCCCGAAAAACACTTATGATCTATGAACTTACTTCTGGTTCTCAATTATTGGAACGCGTGCTAGAACAAATTCACAGAACAACTCCAATATATTATACGCAGCCCCCATATTTTGCTCCCTTATAATATGTTCCACCTGGTTAAAGCAATGAAAGTAATAAATGCCAGGTCAAAATAAAGAGAATGAAACGTCGAAGCAATTAGCTATCACCGAAAATTGAAAATACCCGAATTCGAGCAATTGCCTCTTGGCCAGCCTGCAAAAATTGGGCTATCTCCTTGCGCATCTGTTTTAGTTGCACGTCTCTCTTGTTTTGCAACAGCTTAATGCGAGATATCGCCAAGTTCAAGCATGTTCTACTGCAGAAGGCCAAACCAGGGAGAGAGAAAAAATAGAGGCATATTCATGACATAGAAAGAGATTCAACAGAAGAAACTGTAAAATGTTCGTTCAAAATTCAGAGAGTAAAGCAGCAATTTCAATATTCACACCTCCCTCGATTACGGAAACTATCACAACTCTTTATCCAAATAGCTACTTACAGAAAAGGTAAGTCGAAAAATTATCCCGATCAGGTTACACACATTGGGTGTATTAAAAAATTAAAACATTCAACCAAAACACAACCGGCAAAAAAAAAAAAAATCCAGATTGGAGTTGAACTTTTACCCCTTAAGCAATTTTATTAAAGAAATAGATGAGCAAACAATCAAAGCATGAATCAAAAAGTTCTATGACCAGGAAAAAAAAAAAAAGAAAGCAAGCCCAGTAATTGATTCAACGGCACGAGGGTATTGAATTACAGATCGGCAACTCACCATCTTGTGCCAAAAACGCCTCTGCTAAAGAGTTGGTTTAGAAGTGACATGATGATGATGGTCGGACGAAGCCTTTGCGAGGAAATTTACAATCGATGGGAAGAAATCAGAAATGGGGAAGCTAGATGTGAGCTTTCATAGATAAGATCAAACCACTGTACCTCTCGAAGTCGCCATTAGGTGCAGAAGGAGGAGAAAGAAAAGAAAGTATAAAATATTTTTTTAGTATTAAATAATTGATGTCATCCGACATTCAATACATGAAGGCCAAGGAAGTCAATCCATATCCCATCGGGCCCCAAAATTAAATTACATGTACATTATTTTTTGTCATATTTTTTTAACTAACAAGTGAAAGGATTATAATCATTTAAACACGGTGCATAAAAACGATGTAATAAAGCATATCCAACCAGACGTAGAGTTAAAAGGTTATGAAAGAATGACATGTATTTATTTTTAAGTTTATTATAATTCTGTATTTTTAAATATTTTTTTTATAATTATGTGCTTTGAAGTTAGATTTAAAATTAAATTTGAGATGATTTATTATTTTTTAACTTATATAAAATAAAATATTTAGGTTTAGAGTTAGGTGTGGGATTAATTTTAAATATATTCATTTTTTACCTATTTGAAATTCAAATGAATATCTATCTATTTAAATATTTAGAAAAAATAACATTTATTTAAAATTTTCCATCTATCATCTTGATTTTTGAAAATTTTCATCTATTTTAAAAATTTGCTTAAAATCAAGGCTCATACGATCGAGTATGTATACATACATTTATCTATTCAAATTTAAATTTAAATTAATATCTATCTATTTAAATATTTATAAAAAAAATCTGCGTTTGAATATTTAGTTCTATTTTCATGATTTCAAGAAATTTATATTATATAATAAAGTATAGATATCTATTTATTTGAAGTTAAATTAATATTTGTCTATCTAAATATATAATATACAATTATAGGTTTAAAAATAGTTTATTTACAAAAATGTATATCATCAATAATTTACGTTTAAAAATATTAATTTTGATGAGTTGATATACATATTTTATATTGCAGGGTTTAAAAATATTAATTTTGTTTATGATTTGTGAAATATATATGAAATACTTAATAAATTTATTTGAGATTGGATCTCTATAGTTATTTAAAAGTTTTTTTGTAAGACAGTTTAAAGATAGGTTGCATCCATTTAAAATATATGAAATTTTAAAATTTTGGGTCTCTCAGTGCTTTGGATCGTATTAGACAATGAATCATCTGTACAATATTATATAGTATGTAGTCGACTACTATGAAGTTGCATCCTAAGACAAGTTTTATCCATCGCTTTGGGTCAAATTTTGTCAATATTTGTGACATTAAAGACAAGGAGGGCAGGAGACAACGATTGTAACATCTCGAAAAATTTAATTGTGATTAGTTAACCCAATAATTTATATTTGTGAGTTAATGAGGTATGTGGCCAGAAAGACTTAATTTGGTATAATTGTTATGATTTCAACCCTAAAAGTGAGTCTGGATCAAAGGCGGGTCACCCAGGCAAGGAAAAAGGAAGAAAAAGTAAAGGTTTTCCCTTTGTGCCACATGCCGCGACGTGTAATCAATCCGTTGTGGAACACAAGGGTAGATTTAAATATGGTGGTTTCTCTGTGCCATGTGCTGTGGTGTAGGGCCAAAATTTATGATAAATCAATTCGCATTCTGCGTGAAAACCAGAGAGAAGGAGGAGAGAAAATTGAAGAGCTCAACTTCAGCTCTGCTAGGGCATGTTGTGGGATCACATTGATAATAGATTGAAGCTCTCAAACATTTAAGGTAAGTTTATTATGCCTTCTTCTTCCTTTCTCTCCCTCATTTATTGAAATTTAAGTTAGGGTTGGAGTTGGAAAGCTTATTTTCAGTCCATAGGATTATGGATCCATTTTCATTGATTAAAATGGGTATAATAGGAGTTATTTAAGGTATTGAAACACCAAATTGATGGATGTGGAAGTGGTTGGTTCATGAGAGCATTTAACATCCAAAAATTGACATAAATGTGGTAGTTGGGAGAGGTTTATGTCCATTAATGGTGGTTTAAAGTGTTATCAATAAAAATGTGCATTAATAGAACCTAATAAGCCTATTGAATATAAATGGATAATGATTTATGGGTTGATAGAATAGTGTGAGTGGAGATTTTGTTGATAAAACTCTCAAAATGGGATAATGATGATATCCTTATAGTATGGATGTAGTGAGGTTTAATTTTGGCACCATTCAAGTTTGGGAGAAGTTTTGGAAGTGTTTTGTATAAGGGGTAAACCTTTAACCTTTTAAATATTTAAGGTAATCGAGGAAAACCTAATTTTTATAGTTGAACGTTAATTGTGTTTGTGAAATGTGGTTGATGATTTAAATAAATGATACATATTTGCAATGTGTTTAATTTGTGAAATGGTTTTGGGAAGGAAAATATTGATTATGCCACCCATTTGTGGCTTTTAAATTTACTTGTGGCGTGCTGTTGTGAAAATGAGGATTGTGATATGTGATATGTTAAATATGTGGAGTGATTGAGTATGAGTATGTGAGTTTAGTGCCATGAATTGATTGTTGAAAATGTATATTATGTGAAATATACACAGCATGACCATTAGTGGGAGTTTACTTAGGGAGATGAGTAGTTGGTTAAAATCCACGTGGTATTGGCAGTGACCCTTGGAATTGGGAGCTTGTCCTGACACTGACTATTGGAATTAGAAGATAGCCCTTATCCCATGGTTGTTTTGGGACTGTCTTACTTGTTCTACGAGGGGCTCAAACCTAACTAGTCTTCACTAGTTCAAGAAGAGGCTAGATTAGGGATACGACACCCTATGGTTGTTAGTATTAGGAAAAATTGGATTATATAAGTGAGTGAGTTGATCCTGACCCGGTAGCTCCTTACAAGTGAAAGGCTGGGTTAGTCTGGAAAGAACGTAGTCACGTGATAGCCTCCAGTTTCATGTTGGAGATAATAGGAGGATATAAGGTTGGCATTTGATCATGCATATAAGTTTAGCCACATGGTTGTTAATTTTGTGGTCCAGTATATGTTAAGGGCATATGGTTATTATTATTGTGACCCTGTGTTGTATTTTTGAAAAAATAAACATGATTACGTGTGTTTTAGGCACAGTCACCTGGTTGTTAGTTTAGTGAACCATGGCTAAGTTCCTCATATGTGTTATATGTATGTTCGCCTAATTGCATTTATTTACAATTAATATACAACTATATAGGCTAGGTGAAACTTGATTATTGAATGGTTGTATTCACCCTATAATTTTCAATATTTTAGGACTTAGCTCATCGGATCTGAGTCGAGAAAAACATACAGAGGCTTAAGATTGTGGAGTAATCCTTTTTGAATGTCTCTCTTATTGTTTTTATGTGTATATGGTAATGCAATTGCCAACTAGGATCGCATGTTGTTGTTTTTGTACTACTTGCATTACTATAGTATACAGTTTGTGTATTTTGTGTCTCAGGTTAGTGAGTTTTGGTTGTAAATTCGTGGATAGGGCCAAAATACCTGTACAAGTAAGAACATGTGTATTTTAAAAAATTTAGAATGAAAATAATGATTTTGTGCAACAATTTCCTCCCCCTCGTGTTTTGTGAAAATTGGGGTTGAGTGATGATTTTATGATATATGTGTTTTTGATTGTGTGTGGTGTGTTGCATGGGTCCACTAGAGTCTATTGAATGTGATCGGATGGTCAGTGTAGGCTATTAGCACGTGAGGTTGAGTTAGGACACCCTACTTGTAAAATTTTGTGAACAAGTAGTAAATATGAGTTTTGGTATCTAACTTTTTGTTAAAAAAAATTGAGTATGAAACTAATGTCATTAGTTAAAGCAAGGAGAAAGCTTCGTGTAGACATTGAAACCACTTCAATCAGACGTCGGACAAAGATTTAGGACGCATCGAAAGTTCACTCCTGATGCTATCAAATGACAGCACTGATACTGTCAAATTTGTGCAATGCGCCACAGCGCATGGTATAGAGAAGGTAAGCCACAACGCACATGTCATAAGCCGCGACGCACGAGTCATTTTCTGCACAAAATCTATTGTCGAGTTTAAAAACTCATAGTTTTGGGTCTTTTTTGTTTTCCAAGCTTCCGCACAGTTTTTAAACTCTAATTTGATCTTTATAAATATTGTTTAAAATTTGAATTATTGAATTTGAGATTCCTTTGTAAAGGATTTGAGAAATTTTCTTTTATGAAATTTTATAACTTGGGTAATCATTTAAGGGTTAACCCCTTATTTATCTTAATTACAGAGTAAATTTAGTTAAGTAAGGAAAACCTTACACTGAATGATTACTTAATGGGTATATCATTAAACTTTTTGAATTTTTTATTCAAAAACTTTATTTTTCTTTTTTAAGATAATTTTCCTATCTATTTGAAAACTTTATTTAATACATTTATATAATACCCTATCTATTCAAAAACTTTTTATCTATCTTAAACTTTATTTTTTAATTTATTTAATGAAACATATATATAGCATTATACTTTATTTATATGAAGCATGTTAAGTTAGACTTTCTATATTAGAACATGAAGGTTAAATAATTATATATTGTTTATAATCATACCTTAATTATTATTTATACATAGCACATTCCTTCATCTTTGTTTATTTTTCTAATTTATTTTATTTAATTAATCATGCAAAATAAAAACTCATAATTATTCTACCTTGTAAATGACACCGACTTTAATAATGAAGAAATATTGTATTAGTTTAAATGATGACTCAATGGCAACAACGACATTATTTAAAAAGGTGTGAGATAACACAATTCTACTCCAATGCCATTTATCTAATATCTATGCAATGTATAGTTGTTGTACGCTATATTATATAGAAGTAAAAAGGCATATAAAATTTTTGCTATTTAATAGATTATATGTCAGTTTGGTTTTATATTTTAAGCTTTTTATTTCACTTATTTATTTTTTTAATGTTCTTCAATTTTTTATTTTTCCATTTTTATTTGATACATATCAACTTGACAATTTTTAATGAAAATTTGTGAGCCCTGCCTAATTATTCACATTTTTTGTATAGATTGAAATATCTAATCATTATATATATATATATATATATATAAGTAGATTTAAAGGTGATGTATGAATGACACATGCCTTT